CTCATTTGATCCTTACAACACCCCATTGAGGTTGGTGCTATCACTATCCTCATTTTACAATTGAGGAATCTGAGGCAGACTAGTCATACAACTTTTAAGGCAATGTGAAGCTAGATTTCTGACCACCGCCTCCCTCAGTCCCTCCTCCCTTCTATTAGCCCTCTCCCTTTTCTTCCCCTTTACCCTTACTGCTTTTTTCCATCCCTTCTATTCCTGCTCCCTTTTCTTTCCCCTTTTCCCTCCTACTGCCTATAGGGCAAGTAAGATTTCTATACCTAACTGATTATGTTATTCCCTTCTTGAGCCAAATCTGATGAGAGTGAGATTCAAATAATGCTCATCTCCTTCCCTTCTTTCCTTCTGCTGTAATAGGTTTTTGTACCTTTTCCTGTAATATAATTTACCCTTGTCTGCCTCCTCCTTTCCTTTTCTCTCAGTACATTTTCTTAGTTAGATCAGATTAATCCACTTACTTGGATCCATTTAACCCATTTGATTAGTTTTTTCTTTATCATTACATCAAAGTCAATTTATACCCACCCCCTTTATGTATACCCCTTTAACATGGTGTAATAACAATACAATTCTCAAGGGTTACAAATGCCATCTTCCCTTGTAGGGATATAAACAGTTTGTCCTTATTAACATGTTGTTTCCTTCTGTCCCATTTACCTTTTTATGTCTCTCTTGAGTCTTGCATGTGAAGATCAAATTTTCTGTTGAGTTCTGTTCTTTTTATCAGGAAGGTTTGGAAGTCCCCTATTTCATTGAATATCCAACTCCTCCCCTGAAAGATCATGCTCATTTTCACTGGGTAGTTGATCCTTGGTTGTAATCCAAGCTCTTTTGCCTTATAGAATATCATATTCCATGCCCTATGGTCTTTTAATGTAGAAGCTATAAGGTCCTGTGTAATCCTGATTGTGGTTCCATGATATTTAAATTGTTTCTTTCTGGCTACTTGCAGTATTTTCTCTTCTACCTGGTAATTTTGGAATTTGGCTACTATATTCCTTGGCATTTTCAATTTGGGATCTCTTTCAGGAGGTGATCGGTGGATTCTTTCTATGGCTATTTTACCTTCTGGTTCTAGGACCTCAGGGCAGTTTTTCTTTATGATTTCCTGAAAGCTACCGTCCAGGCTCTTTTTTTTCATCATGATTTTCAGGTAAACCAATAATTTTTAAATTGTCTCTCCTGGATTGATTTTCCAGGTCAGTTGTTCTACCAATGAGGTATTTTACATTTTCATCTATTTTTTCATTCTTTTGTTTCTCTGACTGATTCTTGCTCTCTCATAGAGTCATTAGCTTCCATTTGCCCAATTCTAATTTTTAACAAATTGTTTTCTTCTATTAGATTTTGTACCTCCTTCCCCATTTGGCCAATTGTATTTTTTAGGGACTTGTTTTCTTCAGTGTACTTTTTTTTCCAGTTGGCCAACTGTATTTTTTTAGGGACTTGTTTTCTTCAATGTACTTTTTTTCCAGTTGGTCAATTGTATTTTTTAAGGACTTGTTTTCTACAGTTAATATTTGTCCTTCCTTTTCCAAGCTATTGACTCTCTCTTGCATACCTCTCATTTCTTTTCCCATTTTTTCTTCTACCTCTCTCATTTGACTTTTAAAATCTTGTTGAGCTCTTCTAAGAAGACTTGTTGGGCTTCAGACCAGTTCATATTCCCTTTTGAGGTTCCAGATATGGGTTTGTTGACAATGTTGTCCTCTTCAGAATTTCTTCCTTTATCTTCACTGTTCCCATAATAAGAATCTATGGTATGTTTCTTTTTGCTCATGGTGTTTGCTTATTTCCTGGCCTTTAAAGAGATTGAGCTCTCCTACTGGAGAGCAAAGGGCACTGACCCAAACTTCTTGTATTGGGAGCCTAGGGCATGATCACTGGCTTTGTGTGCTGGGGCCTCTGATGTCAGCAGTTGGAGGCTGTAGGATTCTGGCAGCTTACCTGTTGTTGGGCTGGAATCAACAACACTGGAACTCTAGGGGTAGGATTGGATAGTGTGGCCCCTGGAGATTTCCTGCTCACCCAGGCCTTTCCTTCCTTTCACTTTCTTCAGCTCCTTTCAGATGGATGTTGCAGGATGTTTATCCACCTGGGGCCCCTTGGAGTGCTGCTTCCCTTAGTTTTGCTGAGGCACCGGGACACCCAGTTGCTGTAGAATGCTGAGGCACCTGGTGGTTTTCCAAGTTGGTTTCCACCTGTTCCCCCACCCTCACTGAGGCACTCGGAGGTCCAGGTGTTAGTGTTTGCCTGTTCCACCACCTGGGTTTCAGGATCATGTGAGCAATAGTTTTCGATAGGCAGCATTGTGGAAAGAGCCCAGGGCTTTGAGTCAGGGTCTTTGTATTCAAATCCTATGTAGCTGTGCCATTTTCTCCCAGTGTGACATAGGACAACTCATTAGTCCTCACTGGGCTTGTTTCCTTACCTATAAAAGGAAAATTTAGACTAGATAACTTCTAAGATCTCTTCCAGCTCTAAATATAAAATCCTGTTGATGCTTTGACCTTAACATCCATAGAGAATTCCTCTACCTTTTGAACTTTGCATGAGACACCATCTATTACCACGGCAAACACTTTTGGCTAGTATAAATTTCTCTATTTAATGCCTTGTTTGACATTAATAGAAAATTACTGAACATAGTTATCTCTCTGGTTGTATTTATCAAGAATCTTAACATACGCATGAGAAAATTTCACTAGAGGAAGAACCTTAAAGCTGATTTTTGCTCCAAATCAAATGTGTTTTTGTAATCAACAAAAAATAAACATAGTAGGATCCTGTATTCTTTGTCTCTTTAAGTCAGCTTTGTAACTGTAAATCACAGTATGCAATAGAGAATAGTTTCCCAAACATTGCCTTCCTAGTTCATTTTCATATTTTCTTCAAGGAAAGTCTAGAAATATGAGTACAGATCCTGATTATAAAGATTTTGCAGAGGTAAGAAAATATGTATGATTTGACAGATATGGGTATCGGTCATTTTTGTTATTTAATATTATCTCTGATTTTTATTATTATTATGCTATCTTTCTTTCTCCGTGTTATTTTGTAAACTTTTCCCTCCATATTTTCAGGATTATGTTACCTCCAGCATGACTTTCTTCACTGTGTACTTCAACTGATCTCGATTATTAGCCGCTGCCCCTACCTCTGTTGTTTTATTTTAATTACTTTCCCTACCACTATTCAGCATTTATTTTTCTTATTCTTCCCCCTGCCACACTAGAAAAAAAATAAAAGCAAAATCTTTGTAACAAATAAGGATACAAAAGCAAAGAAAGTTTTCTTAATACCTCTGAATTTATAATTAATTTATGAAATAATGAAATGGGGGCAAACACACCCAGTTCTTTGAATACTGGCTGGGAAAAGGCATGACTGGTATTGGGAAATGGAGCAACAATCATACTTTAATGAGGCACAGAGGGTGCAAAGACAAGCAATGAAAGGGGTACAAAGGCAGACAGCTTCTGGCGGGTTAGGATGATAAAGGAAAACAAGTAGCATTGGGAAGGGGGAGAGGCACAAATAATCACTCAAGTAACCATGCATTAGAGTTTGGAGCACTAGGCAGTATGGACCTGAAGGAGATGAAAGAGTGCTGGGGATGAGGGGGGAGAAAATTGAGGTCTCATTTTTATAGGGCTTTTTGGAGAAACAGACCAACTTCTATCTGTACCACCTTGGGGTTAGTTCATTAACATACCCAATACAAATCATCTCAAAGTCATTGGTAAAACTTCAATGTTAAAATATCCATGTCTTCCCTAAGTTCCAGAACCTTTTGATGTTCTGCTGGTCTTGAACTTTGAAAGTCTGGAATTTATCTGGAATTTACATATCATATGACCAAAATACTTTGACAGAAGTACCTGAATGGCTTCTGCTTATTCAGAACATATTACCAAGATGTGAATTTTGGCTAATACATGATATAGATTGTAAGATCTTTGGGACAGTTTGTACTTGACTTTCAGGTTCCCCTTTACAACCTTATTTTCTGCTATTGTTCCTTTATATTGACTACATATTAATAAAGTTACTTTCTATACTGACTAGAAAGGGAAGATGGGGAGGGAGCAGTAAGGGGGACCAGAACAAGATAAATTTTAACACAGCCTCTATCCAAAGTTGTGTGTCTGATTTTGCAATTAGTCTATCACCATGCTATAAGGAGGTGGGTAGTATTCTTCATCATCATTCCTCTGGCATTATGATTGACCATTTCCTTGATCAGGGTTATTAATAAAAATCATTCATTTTTATCATGTTATTATCATAAAATGAATTGTTCTACTAATTTTGTTCACTTTCCTCTGACTCAGTTCAGACAAGTCTTCTCAGGTTTCTGTGAAACTGTCTCCTGCATAATATTTTATAGCACAAGAGTATTCCATTCTATTCATTTATCAGAACTTGTTCATCTGTTTGCTAATTGATGAACACTCCTTTAGTTTAAAGTTCTTTTCTATTACAAAAAGAGCTGATATGAACATTTTTCTGTCTATTGGAGTTCTTCCTCTTTCTTTGCTGTCTTTGGAGCCCTTTGCCTGCTTTTCTGACATTTTACCAATGAGGAGGTCGTACTTCTGTTTATAAGTCTCACTGTATGTAGCTAAGATGACCCTCAGAAAGTAGACTCAATCTATTGCTGAACTTTTATTCAAAGTCTTTTCAGTATAGCAGATCCTGACAAAGTTTAAAATCTACTGATATCACATTTGAGAAGCCAGGTCAACTTCATGTGCTAATGAGACATCAGAATAGATTTCTGAGGGATATAAAACAGATATTTATAGCAAAAGGCTGAGTAAAGAACATAATCATGAGCTTTCATAATGAGAATGAACTATGCAACATACTCTATAATAAATTAAAATTATATGATAATTAAATTTGCTGGCCTGAATTAAACTCATTGTTGATGCATGCAATTTAATTTATTCCACCTTATCCAATATGTATTTTTATTGCAGGTGATTATGTAGTCATGACTATTTACTTTGATTTGAGCAGAAGAATGGGCTACTTCACTATTCAGACATATATTCCCTGTATATTAACAGTCGTTTTATCCTGGGTGTCCTTTTGGATTAAAAAAGATGCCACACCAGCAAGAACAGCCTTAGGTAAGATTATAAACAATTTTTTTCATGTCATTTATTTGAATAGGGAAAAAGTATAGAAAATCTTCTTTCCATTGAAGGGAAATAATTTAAAATAAATTAGGTCAATTTCATGGACTCTGTTCCACAATCAGTATTTTTTTTTTAATCTGGGACAATAACTAGTGTTTACTGGATTCATAGTTCCTTTGTATGCTTGGAATGTACAGCACCTCCATTAAGACAGAACATGAATTCATGGATGAAAAATCCAAAAGATTCTTAAAATGAATGCCTTTGGTTTCACTTTTTGATCTAAAATTGATGTGTTTGTGTGGACTGAGGTATGTCACTTAATTTACACTTTAAGTTCCAAATTCTCCATTTGTTCATTTGGGCACATAGGATTAGGTGCAAAGCTTTGATGATTAAAGATCTAATATTGCTAAACTAATTTCTTTTAATAAAGAAAATTATTTGTTTATTGTACTAATGCCAGGAAAGAAATAATGGTCATTATTTTTATGTTTTAACGGAATGTCAAAGATAAAGCATTAATCAGCTTTGGACTATAGAAATGAACTTTACCATCTAACATGAAGCTTTGCTATTCAATTGTAGGATCATATAACATTATACCCTATAAATTAAATTGGATGTTTTTTAACGATGGTAAAAATGACTTTTTCATGGATTTTTATTCTAACAAAACATATGAGAGAAAGAGAATTGTTCCTCTTGAATTTTACCAAAGTACCTTCCCTATGCTTTCTATAAGGAACACAATTTTAATTCATTAATGTGTACTATATGTAGAAAGCTCAATCTAAATTTATGCATTTGATAGAATATTCCTATGTTATGTAACTGAATCTGTTAATAGATTTTTTTTTTCATACATTAAGTTAATGGTAACTGAACACTCATCCAGAGAGCTTTTCTCTCTCAAACTTGGACGGTTTTACTAATAAGCAATAATCATAAGATAAACAATCATGTTGATCCAAAAAGAAAACACACACACACAAACACACATATATACATACACACATATAACTTTGTAAACCTTAAAGTGCTATGTAGATGCTGGTTAGTATTATTATCATTATCATACCATTTTTGCTGTCTATCAATTGTTTTTATAAGTAACAAAGTCATTTCCAATAATTTTCGGTTGAGGTTTAAACAGTTGAGTCATTTAACTATGACCTTCAATAACTGTGCTTGGTGAACTATGATTTTTATGATATCCACAAATATTCTTCAGGACACTGGACAAAGCTGTTAAGCTCCTATAAAAGATGGAAGGAATTTTTCAGAGATGAAAGTTGATGGAAATGATTCACAGAACACCATACTGCCTTGAATCTTCATTTAATATTGTTGATGTTCCCCTAGGTGATGCAGTGGATAGAGTGCTAGATCTGGAGTCAGGAAGACTCATCTTCATGAGTTCAAATCTGGCTTCAGACACCAACTGTGTAACCCTTAGCAAATAACTTAACCCAGTTTGCCTCAGTTTTTCATCTGTAAATATGAGCTAGAGAAGGAAATGGGAAACCACTTCAATATCTCTGCCAAGAAAGCCCCAAATGGGTCATTGGGAGTCAGTCACAACTGAAAAATGATTTAACAACTCAACAAATATCCCAAATCCACAGTGGAACCCAAGACTGGGGACAGTAGTTTTTGGAGTAAAAATACAGTAGAACCAAAGACTGTAGACAGCGGTTTTAGAAACAAATGCAGGGCATGCTGATATACAGTGAAATACAATGTGGATTCATTCATCTTATGCATTTTATATAAACTCCCCAAATCCTTCTATGGATGAGAGAGATGTGATTTTATCTGTGCAGCCCTGTTCCCATGTGGAAATTCATTCCACTCATTCAGATTAGTAACCTCTCTGCAGCTTGTATAGTCTTAGAGAGTCTAGTACTCAGCACAGTGCCTATGTCTACCTTATAGGCATTTAATAAATATGTACTCAACCTTTGTTGAATTGAAGAAGGAATTGCCTAGGGAATGTAGTTGAGGCAAAGAGCTAGCATGTGTTGAGTCAGGTCAGTATGGTGTAGTCAAAAGAACATTGGTTCTATAAGCAGTTAATTTAGGTTCGAATTGCACCTTTGATGCTCATTACTAGTGTGACCTTGGACAAATCTTTAACTTTCCCTGGGCCTCAACTTCCTCATCTGTAAATGAGGGATATGGTCTGGATGTAATCTATAATCTTTTCTAGCTTTAACTCTATAATCCTATAATAGTCTTCTTGACTACAAGACCAGCACTATCTCCACAAATGAATGAATGTATGAATGAATGAAAGAAAAAAATTATTAAATGTTTAATATGTGATGTCATGAGTAAATTAAATAAAGGTAAACTGAGGTACATAATCTGAGCAAAATCAATTTATTAACAGTGGCATACATAATTTAATGGAGTGGGTCAGTCTGGCCACTTCAGTAAGGCCAGAGACCCCAGTGAGAAGGGAGGACCCTCTTTAATGACATGCAGGAAAGGAGGGACTCTGGATAGTTGAAAGTTGGTTGGCATTTAGGTTTGACTAATCATGCCCCTCTCTGACGATTAAGGAATGCTAATTATTTTATGGGACTCATCTGCCTCTTGTAATCTTGGCTAGGAGATCAGTACAACAAGATTTGCTTGTGATCCCCTTGGGGGCGATCAAACCTCCCCTCATTGCACAAGGACAGATGACATGTCTGTGTGTGTGTGTGTGTGTGTGTGTGTGTGTCTGTGTGCATGTGTCTGTGTCTGTATCTGTGTGTGTATGTGTATTGGGGGCAGGAGATCAACTTAAGCTGGTTGGGGCTTACAGAAAACAAGCAGATGTCCCAGAGACTAATTACATGAATGATAAATTATCCTTTCAACCACACTTTTAAAATAACTTCAAGGAAAAACTGCATTCTTAAGCTTAACTCAACAATGGAGAAGTACAGAGTAGGGTCAATTACAGAAAGAATCAATTATTAAATAATACAGAATAATTTTAATTTCCTCAGTGACAAGCACTATGTTAAACACTAGAGATAGAAGAAGAAAAAACACGTAGTCCCTGCTCTCATAACTCACATTTTAATTGGGGAACACAGTATATTCAAGATAATTTAACTTCATGATGGACGGAAGGGCCCAGAAGTCCTAAGGTTGTAGTGGCAGGGTGGATGGCAAAGCCAAGGAGTCATTGAGGTATACTAGGGCCCTCCATCTCATTTGAAGGCTTGTAGTTGAGTAACTCCTAGCTTAGCCAAATGGTATGAATAATCAT